GTAAAAAAATTAGACCGACAAACTTTGAAGGAAAATAGAGGACATAAAAACAAACATATTTTGTTAATAATGTTTTTCTCTACGACGCTTTGTTTTAATACTACAGGGTACAAAATAGGAATTTTATGATTTTAATAAAAAACATATGAAAACTCTCATTTATGAGACACCTATTGAAACAGAAGCAGAATTGGTAGCTCGAATTACTGCTGCAGCATATCAGATTCAGAATATTCTTGCAGTCTTCGAGCGTGTGAGACAATCAATGTTTCGACGATGTCATCTTTGTGTTGAAAATGGAGGAATTTTTGAACATTTATTATAAATAGAGCTAATCAATTGCGCATTTTTGTTCCGTTCTTTTGTTCATTGTTTTTTGAAGATTAAAATATATATGTGTAATTGAAATAAATTTAATTTTTTCACTTATGTTTTTTTTTTATTAAAATCATAAAATTCCTATTTTGTACTCTGTAATATTAAAACGAAGTAACGTCGTAAAGAAAAACATTATTAACAAAATATGTTTGTTTTTATGTTCTCTATTTCCCCTTAAAGTTTGTCGGTCTAATTTTTTTACATCCTGTATATATATACACACACACACACACACACACACACACACACACACATATATACAGGGTGTCCCTCCATGATGACCTTTGGTGAGAACGTAGAACGATTGAGGTGAGCAAGAAAGTTCTGTGCCGTTTTGCAATATTCGCAATAATAGTCGAGATATTAATTAAAAAAGATTGGTGAATGATCACGCGCAATATGGTAGATAAGCTGCAGTGGCGCTGTCTGCCGTTGCATACTTATATATTAAATCAAACTGAATAAAAAAGTCCTTTACTATTTTGTAAATTACCATATAGATTTTTAGATATTAATTAAAGAAAATATATGCATTATGGTATACAATCAAATATGTAACAATTTTCTTTAATATTTAAAAATCTATGTGGTCATTTGCAAAATGGTAGAGGATTTTTTTGTTCAGTTTGACTTAATATATAAGTATACAACGGCAGACAGCCCCACTGTAGCTCATTTACTATATCGCGCGTGATCATTCACCAATCTTTTTTAATTAATATCTCGACTATTATTGCGAATATCGCAAAATGGCACAGGACTTTCTTGCTCACCTCAATCTATTCTACGTTCTCACTAAGGGTCATCATAGAAGTTCGGGACACCCTGTATATATATATATGTATGTGTGTGTGTGTGTGTGTGTAAACACGCGCACACATCGTGTACAGAGGTCTACCGGGTGTCTGTTGCAGAAGTAATTATCGGCGATACCATTTATAATTGCTTTTACCGCGAAATTGTAAGTTTACGAGTAGGCGTTCTGGCGATGGCGGCGAATTAACGTCGTTGCTCCCGGGGCGCTCCCTGAGTCATTAGTAATTGCTTACGGTTTATTTGCAATGCCGGGTCAGCGCAAAAACCGGCGCGAACAAGCGCGGTGTTGGTGTAATCTGGTTGTAACACGTAATTTCTTGCTTCCACGAGGTGGAGCGCAGATGTTCGTGAATTTTGCGTTGAATAAATAATAAACACTATAGAAATACCGCATGTTGCGTACGCGCAGCATTATAAATCCCAGCAGCGCGCATTTCATTAATTATATAATAACTAATAGTCATCTTCTCGACTCTCTTTCTTCCTTGTAAGTAGACAACATCGTGCTTTGAGTAAACATTCTAAATAGGCATTCTAAATACTCGTTTCTTCGCTTCTTTGTTGAATCGAGCTCGGCGCTGATATATAAATCGAGAACACGAGCGCGGGATCTTTTTGCCAATTACTACACACAGGTAGCGAGAAATCGTGATTGCGGAACCGAGCGATTAACGGGAAACTTCTTCCTTAGCGCGAGACATTACGTAGCAACGTCGCGAAGCGACGAGAGACGCGCATCGCCGCGTTGTATCCACTGTGGCAAACAGGGGCATTGTGTTTTTGAGTAGTTGACACGTTGCCAAGGCCGGCGCGAGGCCCCGGCATACGTATGCGAACACGTTGCTGACACGTGCGACACTGCGCGACGCGCGTCGATGTTGTGTGTATGCACACCGTGCGTATACGACACGGGCATGAAAGGACGAGCTTGCTTTGGCCCGGTCATTAAGATGAATGGCCCAGCTGATTAATCGCGCGCCGTTTGCCGTTGACACCGTCGGCTTTCCGCGCGGTCGCGTCGTTTCGCAGCCGGGGCTTTTTGGCTCGCTCTCTCTCTCTCTCTCTCTTTCTCTTGCTTTCGCTCTCTCTTACTCTCGCTCTCTCTCTTACTTTCGCTCTCTCGCTCCCGACTCGGCGGTTTGTCAAATGCTTTAGCGCGATACGGCAACGCGAGGTGACACACGGCGGCGTCGTAAAAATCGACGTCAAATGAATGGGACGGAAGAAGGGAATTAAAAATGGATGAGACTGGAAAAATGATAGCGTTATAATAGAGATAATAAAGATAATGGAGGAACGAACGAGCGAGCGAGCGATGCCTAACTTCTTTGCGTTATCTATCATTTGGGGAGTTGATGGTTATTTTTGTGAAATAATCGATGGGTTGGCTGCGAAATTGTAGAGTAAACGTTAAACGAACGAAAAGGTGTCGGAATGATAGATCTGACAAAGGAGATAGTGTGAAAGAAGTACTGGACGGAAACATAGTTTTGTAATAAGCTCTCGTTTTCTCTTTTCTCTCTTCACCTTCCCTATTTTAACGCGATATCTTGGGTGTTTATTATGCAATGTATTTATGTCAACCTCTCAAGTAGTACGCCCGGAAAGAGAAGTTTCATAGTAAAATATTAAATTCCTTTTTTTAATTCTCCGAAGAAAATAGGCAGAGAAAAGAAATCTATAAATATAGTTATTGAAAACCCCTCGTCCCGGGGGGTGGGAGGGGAAATTGTGTAGTCAATTTAGATTACCACTGAAGAGACTAATTAGACAGATTGGCATCTGCTCCAATTTATAGTCGCGTAAATATTTCCGTCCAATTATCGCGACTGAATACTCTACGAAGTATCGATCCTTTTCAGCAGAATGTTATTTGTTCGCGATTGACGCTCGTGGTATCCCGCGCTGAATCGGTACAAAGTATCGATATCCCGTTGAATCTGAGCGTCCCTGCGAGATCGGAGATTCGGAATGTCAATTCCGCGATTTCGCTAAGTAGTTCGCACGTTAAGCCAACTTCGCTCGCGCGAAAGGGGTAAGTTACGCGAATACGCGGGTCGCTTTCGAGCGCGCGACTTAGCACGGTCCATTTCGCATCTCGAGGGGCGAATCGAGATTCCGCCAGTCCTCACCCCGTGCTACCGGAACTCCTTGAATTATTATCTTAAATCGCGGGTCGTGCGCTACCTACGAAATCGGACGTTTCGCCCGTGGGAAAAGCGGGAACGAATTGGAAACGGCCGCGAAGGATCTGCAGGATGATCTCGCAGGAATATCCACGTTCGCGTACCTTCGACCTGGGAGCTTGATCTCGATGCAGGACGTTTCGATCCCTCTCGGCGAGATTTACGAGCGCGCGGAAGAAAGCGCGATCGATCGGATCGGTCGAATTTTGTGTCGCGATTTTTCTTCTTCACGCTAAGAACGAACCACCACTTCTTCCATTTGAAAGGCCCCTCCTCCCCCCCCCCCCCC